AGAGAGAGAGAGAGAGAGAGAGAGAGAGAGAGAGAGAGAGAGAGAGAGAGAAGACTGAGCAATCAAACCGATTCAGTTTTAAGAATGGCCAGCATTGTGTTTCTGTGCGTGTCGTGTGTGTGGTGTCACTGGTTTGTGCATATTGTGTGTGTGCTGTGCGTGCTCTGCATGTGTTATGCGTGGTGTGTGTGCTGTGTGGATGCTGTGCCAGTGCTGTGTGAGTGCTGTGTGTGCTGCGTGCCTTTTGTCGTGTGCTGTGTGCTGTGCGAGTGTAGCATGTGCTGTGTGTATGGTGCGTGAGTGCTGTGTGTGCTGCGTTGATGCTGCGTGAGTGCTGTGTATGCTGCGAGTGCTGTGTGGATGCTGCGTGAGTGCTGTGTATGCTGTGCGAGTGCTGTGTGTGCTGCATCCCTCCTCACCTCCCCCTCCCCCCCAAAAAAAATCCCGAAATTCGTGCATATCTCCCAATGCGCAGAACAACCCCCTGGACCGGAAAAAAATAAAATAAAATAAATTAGGCTATTTTTTTCACACGACCGGGTGACCCGGTCGTCGGACCTGCCCGGGCATGACGCCCGGGCGACCGGACCGGCCGGTCCTCAGAATCTTCCTAGCTTTTTAGTACTACCACACTACCACTTTTACGTCTCAGATTCACCCATTTTCATGATCAAACAGTTTTGACTTCTATTTATGGTTAGGATTTGCAGTTTCTTTCTTTCTTTCTTTTTTTTTTTTTTTTTTTTTTTTTAAATTTTAACGCCCAGGTTTGTTGTAGAGGCAGGGTATCAGGCGCGGGGAGACTCTCCCAGGTTCAGTCATTCGAAGTTTGGAATGACCCACTTGGTCCCGTGGACCTTCCTAGACGGTTTGACCCACTCGGTTTATCTGGCAGTTTGGCCTGTTTGCCTTATCTTCGCTTGATAGCTTTTTTGGCTTTGATGAGGGTCTGATGCAAGGGACCGCGGTACCTTTCTACCTTGTTTGGGTTTTTGGGGCTGATGCCTTGCGTTGATGCTTTTTCGTACCTTGTGTTTTGGCCTCTACTGCTGGGCCCTGATCCAGTGACATGGTCTGTTGGGAATTCCTGACCTGGCACATCATGCGCTTGTGGCGACTTTTGACATCTGTCCCTGATCCACAAGTTTTGCTGTGATTTGTATTACGGCGGCGGATGGGTTTTTCCCGCCGGATGGTTTTCCCGCTTCAGTCTGTTTTTTCCGCCCATGTCTGGGTTCTGTTGCTCTGACGTCCTGGCAGTTGTAGACTTGTAGGGACTCGTACCTCCTCGCTTCTGCTATATCTGCGGGACAAGCGGTGATTGAATCCTCTTCGGTATTAGCGCCTGCACACTGACGCGCTGTCTCCTAACTTGGATCTCCTGGCACGTTTTCGGTTTGAAGGACGTCTAGGGCTGCCTCTCGGTGGAGCAGCCGCCAGCTCCCCTGCTGCCCTGTGGGTTGGCCGTGAGCACTCTTCGGTGTGGGTTGGCCGTGCTCACTCTTCATTGTCGGACTTGGGTGCCTGCGTACTGACGTGCTATCTCGTGACCCCGCTTTGTGACCTCTGGACATGCTTGTGGACCTCCTGGCATGTTTTCGGTTTGAAGGACTTCAATGGCCTCCGTTTGGTGAGATCTGCCTTCGTGAGGCAGCCTGGCGCAGTCTGCACTGATGGCGGGTTCTGTCTTCGCTTTTCGTCAAACCGGAGCGCCAAGGGTGTTCTGTTGTGATGTCTTCATTGTGTCTTCTGTCTGTTTTCCCTGTGTGTTTGGTTGCTTGTGCAGGAATTTGGGCGCTGATCGTCACCAGATTCTCCCGCTTTTTTCCAAAGGAGTGATGCCAGCCGATTTGGATCGACCTGTCATCTCCACGGGGTTTCTAAGGATTTGCTCTTTTGCGTGCTTCGTTACGCTCCGGGGGGCTGCTGGATATTTAATCACTATGTAGGAATTGATCATATCGGTTTAGGATAGACTATTTAAGGAGTCAAGGCTATGATATTGGCCTTCTAAGTCGAGTTGGGATTCGATATGATCAGGGTACCTCCTGATGACTCTATTGGTGGGGTAGTAGAGAAACGCGTTGAGGGATGGCCGTATTGGTTTGGGGATTGATATGGCGGATTGAGCTTTGGCTCGCTGGGTTGGATTTTAAGGCCTTGTACTTCATTTTAATTTTTCTGGCATTGACCCCTTTTGTGTTTCGTTCTCGGTTCGATTTGCGTGCGTCCAAGATCATGTTTATTGGTTGAATTCTTTTATCTTGGCTCATGCGAGAGACTATTTGCCGACAGTTCCTCTTCCTCTTCTTTTCTTCCTAGACGGAGTTCTCCATGGGCTTAGAGCCCTATTCTATCGCAAGTTGTCCCCCTTCGACACCATAGAGCTTTCCACCAGAGATCAGATTCTGTCCCTACAGATCCAACCTCCAACTGGATGTATTGCGGGTTCACTCTAAGCAGCTTTGCCCCCAACCACTGACTTAGCAGATGCCTTGTTCGCAGTTTCAAACAGTGAATGTAGAGAAACTTACTGAGTGTGCAGGGGATTGGCGGGCCTCCCGAAGCTGAAAAATTTGCATTCTGCATGTTGCATTCGTCTACACGACTGACAGCCAGTTCGCCTGCACCCATTGCCGTATGAATCTCCTGCGTAAACTGCTCGTTTGTGGCTGCAACAAAATAAATAAATAAAATTAAGTCATCAAATTGAATCCCACCTTTAGGTTCATGATATACATCAATCAGTCAACGGTCCTCATTCTTGGCATCAGCTTTGTCCATCAACCTCATCGTCATTGTCCATCAACCTCATCGTCATTGTCCATCAACCTCATCCATTTCCTCTAAGCTTTTAGATACATCGTCTTTTCTTAATTCTGTAAGAAAAAAGACGAGTTGCACGCAGAGGTACAGCATGTTGTTGCAATCGCATACCAAATATATCGCTTTGAATTTTGTCTTTTGCTGTCGTCTTCCTTGAGGTTTTTTTTTTTTTTTTTTCTTCGGGAGAGGGGGACGGGGAGAGGGGGGAGGGCGGGCACTAGATATGTCGTTGAAATCACACAATGCATGGCCATAATGATTGCTTAGCTTGGACAGAAACCACAGCTGCAGTGCGCTTGTGTGGTGCGCTCGCGTTCGTTCACAAACTCCCCCTGCAACTGCATCTCGAAGACATGCATTGGCCGGAAATCTTGTGAGGAGGCAAGGACTGGCTACAACGCAGTGATCTGCTTTCACGACCGGTTATGCAACGCTGGATCTCTGAGATGAAATGATTGAACCCTAAATTTTTGGAACAGTACATTTATTATATTGCAATCAAAACACTCAACCTGCACTGATGCTTGCTGGTAACAAGCAACCGGACTGCTGGCCCGCAGAATAGGAGGGGCTTGAGAGGCAAAAAAAAAAAAAGGAAAAAAAAAACACAACCTACCGCTTGTCAGGCAAACACCTAACCAATAGCCTAAGGGCCAACCAATAGCCTAAGGGCCAGATCCCACTGGCAAAGAGGATTGGAATAAGCCTCTGAATCTGGACGCATTTCTCGAGAGGTGCAAACAATTGTGATTGAACTGCTTTTCTGCATCTCTGTGTGGAACACGTCCAGATTCAACTACTTATTTCAATCCTCTTTGCCAGTGGGATCTGGCCCTAAATGGGCTGGGGTCAAAGCAAAGCCCCAAGATGAGTACTTCACCCCACCCCACCCCAATGAACGGTGGGTTTCCCCCGGTCTCCCCCATATAGAATGCCGTCTGTCCAATAACTGTGCATGATTGCCATGGCGGACTGACGATTTACGAAATTCAAATTAAATATTTAAGTCTTCTTTTTAAAGGAAAAAAGCATTGAAAATGGCCGAAAAATGCAACACATATTCGTGCACACAGTTGCGAGTTCAGTGCAAATTTCGCCGCAAAAATAACTATCTTCCTGCTGAGCTGCGGTCCCATCAACACGGATATACTCGCCATCGATTTTCAGTATTGATCAGATGGTACCCCTTAATCTGCACAGGTCAGGCCTCGGCCGCCTCGCCCCTGGTGGGTCTCTGCGCCTTCTATCTACAACAAAATGGGGGGGGGGGGGGGGG